TGTCGTTTTAGAGGGGGTGCGTTGTTACCACTACCTGACGATGTGGCGGATGCAACATTGGTGGCAGATGCAGTAGGATCGTTTGTTGCATGGCCGTCAAGCCTCGTTTGTGTAGATAATGAGGTATGCTTAAAATCATTTACTATTCAAATTTTTTATGGCAATTATACTTAAATTTTGTTTACACGGTGATATTAGACTCTAACAAAATCCATTCTAAAAGATAAGGGGATTAGGCGGGAGACCGAGTCAATTGCATCATTTGAGGTAACACAATTATATGACATTTATGCTATGAGAAATGCTAATTTGTGATTTTATATTTCCCCTAACTAATTATATGACAACTAGATTCATGCTAAAGAGACTGCACAAGTCAGTAGGGGTAAGGCGCTTGAAATTAGCAATATTTCCACACAAAAAAGAATATTGCTAAGAAGACTGTGGCTAGCAAAAAAACTACTGCTCAGTTCAGGTCGTGCCTTCGGACATATTTAGGAATTACAGATATTCCGGATGGTGGTACCCGCCTTATACCTATGAGTGCAGACATATTTGGTTTTGAATATCTTGAAGCAATTGGTAGAGAGGATATGGAGCAAGTTTTTAGGCATTTGGAATTAGGCCTCAGTGTTATCGGTATATACATCAGGTATACTCCGATCAACTTTATTTAATTAAATGAACAATTTAATCCCTCATTTCAATGAATATATTATAATGTTAATGATGTTTTAATTTAAGGTTTATATATGACAACATTGTGCACCCACGTGGATTAGAAACAAGATTTGGCTTCTTAGCTCCCAACATTGTCAATTCAGGGTTAATTGTAATGAGAACAGATGATGTCATAGCATATGTACTAGGTTTATTCGTGGCCAGTAAAGATACTGAGAAATTGTTATTTTTGCCATATAATACTAGCAACGGGTTAGATTTTCATCCTAACTTGATCTATTATAATTTTTCATTTTTGGCCATTGTTTAATCTTTGTTTAATCTTACAGTGGACACTGGTTATTGGTTGCGATTAATCCTATGAGAGAAACTATGTATTATCTGGACTCGTTATACAATGATTGGTCAAGATATCCAGATTTTAAACAGATGATTGACACGTAAGTGTTTCGCTCCCAAAGAGATATTCAAGTTTATGTTTATGTTTATGTTTATGTTTATGTTTATGTTTATGTTTATGTTTATGTTTATGGTCAACATATCTGGATTTGTGTTTATGTTTATGTTTCTATGTGAGATTGTTCTAAACAGTCATTTATATTTTATTATAGCGTTCTACTTGCTTTTCACTCCCAAAGAGATATTCAAGTACCAAAAAGTAGAGCCAACAACGTTACATGGATCAGAGTGGAGGTATATTTTCACAAAGAGATATTCAATTTTGATTACATTAGTGATGATACTTGATAAAACAATTTAAGGGGTATATCCTGATATATATTCGTATTTTCTTTCCATGTGTAGTATCCTCGCCAGCGTAACGGTATAGATTGTGGCTATTTTATGTTGAGGTTTATGAAAGAAACTATTATTTTGGATCGATTAGAGATTCCATCCACGGTATGAATTTCTAACTTAGGAATTACATACTATTTTCATATTTTGTGTTTCTCATAAAATGACATATTGTTTTAACTAAATCACATACTATGTTATATTATTATATATGTAGTACTTTGAGGAATTCAATTGTGCACATTACTCAAAAGATCAATTGGATTAACTTATGGAGGAATGATGTCAATTCATTATCGGGTTGGGAATTTTATAAGCTAAGGTATATTGTCTTATTTCTTTTGATGAGAATTTTTGAATTTTGAGTATAAATTAAATTCGAATAAAGTGCAACGTTAATATTATCATGTTATGAATTTTGATCATTTGTTTTTTTCCCAGGTTTATAGGTACATGTGTAGAAGATAGAGCTAAGATATTCATATTGTTTTTGTTTCATGAGAATTCTCGAAGATAGAAAGATGTATAGATGTAAATTTAATTTAGAATTTTAGGCATTTTAACTTGTAGAATTTTAACTTGTATCATAAATTTTGTAATTGTTGTTGTATATATATATATATATATATATATATATATATATATATATATATATATATATATATATATATATATATATATATATATATATATATATATATATATATATATATATATATATATATATATATATATATATATATATATATATATATATATATATATATATATATATATATATATATATATATATGTATATGTGTGTGTGTGTGTGTGTGTGTGTATGTGTGTGTAATTTTTATATATGTATATTTTATTGGAATGAAGCTACCAAATATGGTGCATAATATGGTGAAAACCTGGATCAAATATGGTTAAAATTTAGATTAAAATGCATTATATATATTGTACAACACTTTTGTAAGTCATAATAGATAATTTATTTAAAAAAATTTGTGAACAATAGACAGCGCTTTAGGAGAAAAACGCTGTAAAGTGGGGAAATAGACAACGCTTTCAAAGGAAAACGCTGTCTAAAGCCTAACTTAAAAAAATAACAAAGCGCTGTCTAAAGCAAAAGCGCTGTTAAAGGGGTATATAAAAAAGCGCTGTCTATTCTAAAAGCACTGTCTAAAGTTGGCATAAGACAACGCTTTGACATTGAAAAAAAAGCACTGTCTTTTCTTTTAGCAGCGCTGTTAAAAACCAAAAAAGAGCTGTCTTTTCCCTTTTTTATAATAGTGATCGGGATTGTTTCATCTAGATCTCCATACAATAAAGCAGTCTTCACATTCATTTGTTTCAGTTTTAGGTCGAATTGTGCCACCATGGCAAGTAACATTCGAATGGATATGTGCTTCACAACCAGAGAGAACACATCATTGAAGTCGACACCTTCTTTCTGAGTGAAATCCCTCGCGACCAACCTTGCCTTGTATCTTTTTGATGTTACTCCTTTGATTCTTTCCTTAACTTTAAAAATCCACTTACAACTAACTGACCTGGCTCTATCAGGTTTCTTGATCAATTCCCAAGTATGGTTACCATGAGGAGATTTCATCTCATCATCCATGTCCTTCAGCCATTCAATCTTATTTTCGACTCTTCATAACTTCCTTATAGTCTCTAGGTTCTTAATCTAGACCCTCACTTGTAGAGATTAAGATATAATCTATGAGATCTGCATACCCAAGTCTATGAGGTGGCTTGATGACTATTTTTGGCCAATCTCTTGCCAATAGGTAGTCATTGAAAATTTCCTCAACTTCCTCAGTATCTTTAACATTTTGTGCTTCTTCTTTGACTTGTTTTGGGATACATAATTCACCATCGACATGCTCCACTTCAACATGAATATCTTCTTGTTCTAACTCTTTTTCAGATATCTTTACACTTCGACCTACGTCACCAGTTTTCTTGAAAGCCATCTCAGCTTCATTGAAAACTACATCTCAACTGGTAATACACCTTTTGTGACCTGGCTCTAGGAACCATAGCCTATAAGCTTTGACTCTTTCGGGATATCCCATGAACATGCATCTCATAGCTTTAGGTTCGACCTTGTCATACCTAATGTGAGCATAGGCTACACAACCAAATAATCTAAGTTTATCGAGATCTGGTGGATGTCCCGACCAACCTTTTTCAGGTGTCTTCATATCTAACACAGTCGAAGGACATCTGTTTATCAGATATGTTGTTGTCGAAACAACCTTTGCTCAAAACACCTTCTTTAACCCAACACTAGCCAACATGCATCTAACTCTTTCAAAAATGGTTCGATTAAACCTTTCATCCAAACCAATTTGTTAGGAGTGGTCTTATATGGAAGATTACATGACTTGGTTCTATAGTGTTTCACACCCTATCGTGACATCAGACGCTGTTGGTCGTCCACCTAGGCCTGCTCATTAGGAGATCCTGGAGAATGAGTAGGTCAGAGATGACCATGCCATTGATGTGTTGTGGATATGTCAAAATATTATGCGGATTACATATGAAGGCATAAAGTCTGGGCTGTTTGAGAGAGGTGGCGATGATGTGTTAGCCCTTGCACGTACCATTCTTAGCGAGTCAGAGAATGCCTTGGGTTACCAGCGACAAAGAAGGAACCAAGGGGTTAGGATTAGACATACACAATAGATTATGCATTTTTTAAATATATTTTGGGATGTCTTAATATTATTTTCTATACTTTAAAAACAATGTTTGTAATATTATGGGATATATTTTTAATTAATGCATTCCCTTTTTCTATAATGTGTGTTTATTAATATTTGAATCAAATTATGTCATTGTCAGTCGAATTAAAATGACTTTGGATTAAAAAAAAATACAAATTTAGGGCAATGTTTCTGCCCAAAATGCATATATGGAAGTTTTCAAAAATGCATATCCGAAATAAAGTTGTTTAAATAGTTTAAAATATATTCAATGGTGTTTTCGAAAATGCATCTTCAAATACACTATATAAAATTTTCGCTGATATATCTCCAGACGATTTTTTGTTAAAAAGAAGTGACTACTTGACTTACGAAAAATAAAATTATTTAAAATAAATTCAGAGGTGTAAGCCACACCCCAAAAACGAGAAAAAAAATTCCCCATAAAAAAATAGACCATATGACTTATCTATTATATTCGAATGATTGAATTTATAGAAAATAACTTTTATAAACATTCTAATAAGTCATTTTTTTAGATGTATCTATATATGAATTAGATACATTGATGACTCAATCAATTTATTTTGTCTGTTATTAAAAAAAGAGTGATAACATTAGAAAAACAATTCTTGAAAGATTTAAAAACTAATTTTAAAGTATTTAAGGAAATAAAATTTATTTAACCCATTATTTAAAAATAGTATTAAAAGTGTATTTAAAATAATTTATTTGACTTTATCTACTAACATTATAAATTTTGAAACATCATTTATAAAATTTGATCAAAAACAGTTTATGATTTTCAACAGAACGTACCCCATGGCCACCGCACCATCGTCATCGGTTGTCACCGCCGATACAAACACCACTCAACCGCCTTCTTCTTCGGTAGTTCCCGAGGCTTCTCCTTCTCCTGTCTCCGCCATCGATTTCTTCTCTCTCTGTCACCAGCTCAAGGTACCTCCTTAGTTTCTCATAAAGACTGAATCAGTTCAAGAAACCAAGCATAATAGTTTTATCTGCAATACTGAATGTTGCATTGCATCGATGATCATTTAATTTTGCATACTAAAATTGTTATCTCATGTTAAACTATGCGTCGTTGTTCTTTAACTTGTTTGAATACTGCATGCGTTTGGTATGAAATAGACAAGAAAGAGAACAAGATGGCTGAGAAGTGGCATTAAGAATCCTGAATCTATGGCTGATCATATGTATCGAATGAGTTTGATGGCGCTGATTGCACCAGATGTTCCTGGTTTAGACCGAAACAAGTTAATCCACTTTACATTTTTTTCTCAGTTTATTATTGATAACAGCCAAATGTGACATTAGGTTTTTCTGAAATTGGTTTGTCTGTTCATTGTCAGGTGCATCAAAATGGCTATGATTCACGACATTGCAGAAGGTATGCTGTTTTACTCTGCAAATTTTGTGTATGTATGGGGAAAATATTTGAGACAAGTTTAAATGAAGTCCTTCGAGGAAGTAATATTTTGGTGGATTGTAAATCTATGAACTCTGGAAGAGACCGAGTGAATACTATTACTAGGGATAATTTTATGTTGTAGTTTGTATCTGGTAACTTTGACAGCAAGAGATTCTTACTATGTAATTGACATAGTGTTGAGTATGATTCATAGTTACTGAAACTGAAACTGTCGTGTCCATTATTTGCAATTTGTGTTTCTATTTTCCCTTTTGTTACTGGTTGTTGTTCTAACACATAGAGAGTAGTAACCAGCATACTCTCGTTCCTCCTAGGCATTTTGTTGTTTCTCTGTTACTTTTGGTTAGAAATTTACAAATGCCTACCAGACTAGAAGTCCACATGAAAAGATTTGAATAACAATGATAACGAAAAGCATACATAATGCAGAGTCTTCTAGATGCTGATAGTTCTGATTAACCAACAGTAACAGAAATTGACTGAAACTTAGCTACTAACCATTGGTTATGCCTAGCTTGCCTAACTTACAGTGGCTAATACAGAAGGATCTAGAACTATATAGTGTCCAGTATTAAGCGAGAAAGACCAGGGAAGGTAAATTTACACACTCCTCCTATCAACATAATGTTGAGCGTTGATTTGATGCGTTCAATATTACAATGATCTTGTTATCCCTATTTTGCTTTTTGCTAAAAATACAATTTTCTGGCTTTCAAATTGGCAGAAGATTTAACGGGAGAGTATCGTGTTACTATCATATTTCTCATCCATGTTTCCTTCTTGGAGCTATAAATTGATTTGCTTTCTTTGGTGCTTTTTAATAGCAATGATTTTGGACACAACCCCCCTTGATGAAATTTCAAAAGAAATAAAACATCAACGAGGACAAGCAGCGGTTGATTATATGTGCCGAATACTCGGAGTAGAAGGATCGAGAGGTGCTTCCTTGTCACTTTGTCGATGAGTTTATTAATGAGAGTTGAGAAAACTCACACCTCTTGGTTTTAATTGAATTTTCATACTGAAGGAAAGGAAGTTACTGAGTTGTGGATGGACTACGAAGCAAATTCCTCTCCAGAAGCAAAATTTGTCAAGGACCTTGACAAGGTTTGTGGCTTTTTGCCTATTCTGTCTTTCAGTGGTTCACTTCTGGGATTTACATTTTGGGGGGTGGGTGGTTTGGATAGAAGATTTTGGAGGAAAATAAAAGGAAAGTGAAAATTTTCATTTGTTGAAGAGAGTTACACCTATAAAAAAGATCAATGGATTAAACAATTAACTTTAGATTATAAATTAATATATCATTTTTTTCTTTCCTCATAAATTTATTAAATTTGAGAAATTAATCCTCCATTCAAACATGCTCTAAGGGATTTCAACTGAAGGGCCTTGGGAGATGGAGGGTGGACAGGATGTCTTATCAAGGGGCGTTTAATTGGTAACATGCAAACAAATACCTTAACCAAGTGTGCTAGGATCATCCAGCCATTTGGCTTTTGTAACCTCATGTCATTTTCTTTAGCTTTGTCAAGAGATTTGTGCAGGTTAATGTTTCTGATTCATAAGGCTAGATGATATCTTAATAAAAAGGGGGAAGATGGTAGAATACACAGTGATGATGCTTGATCCAACATTGTTTTTCCTTTTCTCTATCCTATGGTATTTAATTCATATGATAACGTGAAACACTTTTCCTACCCTCAAGAGGATTAAATAGGGGTGACAAATGGGCATGCCCCGTATGCCTGCAAAAAACGAGGCAGGGCGGACCCTGCACACCTAAAGCCTAAAAGTGGCAAAAATCCATGTCTGCGCCATGTTAATGCCTGAGTCTGCCAAAGCCTGAAAAAAAGGGGATTGGGCGGGCATAAAAGTAACAAGTAGCTACTTTATTGTCAATATTCTTCCATAGATTATTTTAATTTGTTTGATAATGATTATACAACATTTTGGTTTGGAGTTAAAGTACCTTGAGTTCTTGCCATGTAAACCGTTAGTTACTCTGGTTCTAAGACAATTTTTGTTCCATACAGGTAGAAATGATACTTCAAGCTCTGGATTATGAAGAAGATGGTGAGAGGATTCTTTAATTTAATTTTTTTTCTTTCATCTTTTCACTTTATTACAATAGAATACTATATAGGCCTTGTCAAACCATTTGAATTGTTTGTCAATCTTTGAACATTAATCATCTTCAATACTAATTTATATTTTAGTTAGAAACTTGTGCAAATGATTTTGAAGACATTTTAAACTTTTGGCAGTTATAACTAATATTTTGAATACCTTAGTTTCCTTGTTTGTTTTCTATAGGATACCATTACTTATAAATCATATTGCAATAGTGACAACGACGATGATGATTAACGGCTTTCAGTTTAATTTTGCATATAGATATATTTTTGTGTTTTAGAACTGTTTTATAGGTAGTTTGGTGTCATGTTATGCCATTTGATAAAACTACTTTGTCTTCCCTTATCTTCTAAGCATTGATAAAACCTAATTAGAACATTTATAATGCTTTTCATTCTGGTACATAATGCATGCATATATTGATGATTTATATTTGTATGATACTTCCTCCGGTCTCAATTATATGCAAAACTACCTAATTTCACATTGAATAAGGGTTTTCATTAACTGCAATAAATTTATAATATAAAAAATAAACAAAAGTAGTGTTATTCTTTAAACAACCAACCCTTCCCGGGAACCTGTTCCATAGGAATAAAACAGATTTTGATAAAGAAAATCTATATTATTTGAAGAGTGTTTTAGAAATGACATCATTAGATAATGTGAAATTACTTGATATTTTCTTACATTTTAAACTACCAAATATGAGTTCTTTTTTGTTTATACTCAAGACTGAAAAGAGTACAAACATTGGAATGAATGGGTATGTTGATTATTTCCATCTTCATTTATAGATTTATTTCTATGCGATTTCTATTTGGTTTAGATCCATATGTTGTGAAATATGTTCTCTCATGTCTTTGTGCAGAGCAAGGGAAGGATTTGGATGAATTTTTCCGCTCGACTGCTGGTATGATTTTCAACACTGACTTTTATTCTTTTGGTATCTTAGAGCTGTTTATGGATCCGACTACTTTAACCTATAAACATTGTTCAAAAAGTCATTGGTTGAGTTGAGTTTCACTAACTTATAGTTTATCATACACATGTTTGTGTATTTTATGCTTAGTACCTGTTATATTTTTATTCTTTGGTTATTGTTGCACTTTATCCTCTAAAGTGCACCAATCCGTTTGCACATTTCTTTATTGGTTAGGAACACACTTGATATCTATGGGGCAAGTATAAGTAGTACTACTGAAGCATAATTAACTATCTCACTATAGGGAGCCTGATACAACCGTGTTTTAGTAGATAGTGCAAATCAGCCCTTGGAAGTATGATTCACTTGTTAATGATCTGAAGCTGAGAAGTGGAACCTAGGGTAACATACGGTGGCGTTTGTTATCAAAGTAGAAATTCCATTTTAATGATTTTTTTCAACTAGCTGGAATATTTATGTGGGAGTTAATTATGCCTTAGTAGCACCTACTATCTGCTCCGTATGGTGAGATGGAGTGTCATTTGACATCTGAATAACTTGGTTTGGCTATCTATTCACTTAAAATCATATACAGTTAAATGCATTTTTTTATTCCCCTATTTTACCTGAAACAAGATTTTAGTCCCTCATTTCAAAATACAGCATTATGCTTCTGAGTTTCACATATTATTACAATTTTGGTTCTTATACACATTTTTATACATGCACATAAAAGCATATAAAAGTACTTACTGGGGGATGTTTTTGACGTTTTGCAGGGAAGTTCCAAACTGAAATCGGCAAAGCTTGGGCATCAGAAATTGTTTCAAGAAGGAATAATACCCAACTTGGAAGTTAATGAGTTCTCTTGAGAGGAAAGTGGAAGGGTGAGGCAATTCCTTTAAAAGTTTGTATCTCAATTGGCTGTTGTAGCATGGTGTAGGTATCTTAACAGTGTACAGATAACCAATATAGCAGGTGTGAATGAAGCAACATTTAGTAGATGATTTAGCTGGATTATCTTGTACTAATATACTTTTAACCTTGTCTCATATTCATTAGACTTCATTGATTTGGAATGACTGAAAATTTTGAACTTTAAACCGATTAATATCATGGGTTGCATCTAGTTTGTTCTACTTCCCAAAGAAGTAGGTTTTCATAACTGCAGATCTTTTTGGTAGTATTTTGACCTTAAACTTCAAAACGATGAATTTCATGAATTGCATGTAGTTTTATTTTACTTCCAAAGTAGGTTTTGATATCTTTTGTTGTGCATGTGGATATTCTTGATCCTATTTTGACCTTGAGTATTCAATCAACAGTAATGCAATTTTATTTAAAAGGCCCCTTACTTCGGTGGAGCCAAGTCCAATTACAAAAGAACCTATTCAGCCGCTAAGTTGAAAAAGTCGCTAATTATGTCACTAAATTGTAAAAACTGTCACTAAGTTATATCAGAGACAAAAGTGTGTGAAAGAAATTTATAGAAGAATTATTTTTTGAAGGAAATTTTCTGAGAGATTAAAAATGAAATATGTAATATTTAGAGGAACACAAACATATTTATCTCAAAATTTAATAATATAATTTTTTCTTCTTCATTTTTCTTCGGCATTATTCTTTAGAATAATGTATTTGTCGATATCAAGTAACATAATCTAACATGGTATTAGTAGATAATCATACATGTTTCTTGCCTATACATTTTCTAGATTTCATTAGATACTTTCCCTTATTACACAACTTTAGTTACCGTCTTTCTCATTTCTCAGCTTTCTTTCTCTCTCTTGGCTTCCATCTTTTTCATAAGGAAATCTAATCCCTGCGATCGAAACATTTCGACACCATCGTGTTACTAGAAACCACTCACACTTCAACAACACACATCATCATCTCCTTTACACCATATCACCACCACTACCGTCACTCAAACAACCATCATTTAAAACTTATGTAGTACTGACATTTCTGAAAAGAGACGTATATGTGTCGGTGTAGAATATTTGTATCGACACTTGTGATTACATTTAATTTATTTATTAATTTAAATAATTATCAGTTTGGCTTTGTGTTAGCCAGCAATTTTCGACCAAGGAAAGTGATTATAAGTTAAGGTTCATCACCAACAAGAAAGTATTTTCGACACAATCTATGGAGAGATAAGAGGCATCGACAGGTTATCAAGGGAAATGTCCCGTTGAGATTGAACGAAATTCAAAGTTTTTGAAATTGGGTCGACGTAATGTTTAAAGTGAGTCGATTGGGAGCCAAATCGATGAAGGGTTTGAAAGCCAAAACAAATACGTAAAGTGTGTAACATTGAAGCAGTTTTCATCGACAATTATAAATAGAACATGTGAAGGTTCAAAAAGGAAATTTCATCACGAATTTCAAACGTGGTTATAATAACCGTCAAACGTGTAGGATAACAGTTACTTTTATTTGTTAATTAAATTTTTTTAATTCATGTTGGAAGTTGTATTTTGTAACATTGTAAGAAAGAATTCAAAGTACCCGCACCTAGAGAGAAACGAGTCAATTCTGAGAAATGTATGATTGCGACCACATTTAAATTCAAAGCACTTTATATCATGTTATGTCTTGTTTATCATTTTTTACCTTGCAATTTATTTGTTTTTGTCTTTGTTTTTACCCTTTTCATACTTTATCCATTTCAAGTACCAAAACACTATCAAACTTAACACCAAAGTCTAGGATTCTTGTAGTCGGTTCTGCAAGTAACCTTTAAGTAAGAGGCTAGAGATTGTTCGCGAGAAACGCATGCGAATAAATTCACACACCTGATGGGACACATTTGGGTTAAGTTCATTTTAATCTGTGCATGAGATTGAGGAGTGGTAAAAAACGGTAGATCCTAGAAATCCAGACGAGGAACAACCCCCAGGAGGAAATACCAGTGTTGCATCGAGTGTGAGTTCAAGCTCAGTGGTTGTGTCTTCGATGACCCCAAGCATACCAATCACGACGACTGAACCGGTAACTTCAAGACCAAGTGTGGTCAATACTTCAGGACATATGTGCCTAGTTTCGCAATGCCTACGCAAGGTGGGGAACGAGTGTATGGAATGCCAATAACAATGATGACAGGCTTGCATAACAGCGTTTTGATGTTTAGTGAAAACTCAGCGTCAGCGTTTTCCCCATCACCCATCATGGCCTATGGGAAGTCAGTTTGGCAGTTCGACTGTGTTGAGTTTTTCACACCAAGTAATACCCACTTTCACTCCAAGTTCAGTTGCAGTTATGAGGAAACAGATGGATGAAAGCAATCACGAAATGATCAACATGTTTACTCATCAGATCAGTATCATATTGAGACCATTAATCGAGAGTTTGATGCAGAGTTACTAAACCTTGGCAACTTAAATGATTCACATTGGTGACTTTCTTGGTGCCCTTAGAGCACCAGTTCGACATGCTGCACCATCTCTGCCGAAAGAACTAGTGCAGTATGAAGAAATGGTCGATAAAACAATCGACCAAGATTGAGAAATTCCTCAGCGCGTCGATCCTATACCTAGGGTTATTGAATAACCCCTAATGGTGATAGTAAATCGAAACCAACATGTTGACCAAGTTGTCAGGCAAGTCCAACGAGACGTAATGGCTGGAGAACAAAACTTAGAAGCTATTTTTGAACGAGTCATGGTTCGAAACTGAATGAATACTAGCTCATAGAGGCCTACGTACTCTTCCTCGTTACCGAATTTTGTCTTGCAAACAGAATTACCTAGGGGTTAGAAAGTCCCTGAATTCACAAAGTTTGTTGGACATACAGAGGAGTCCACTGTTAAGCATGTTGCTAGGTATCAAACCGAAGCTGGCGACATAGCCAACAATGAGGATCTGAAACTGAAATTGTTCTGGACTGGGCCTTCCCGTGGCCCAATCACTAGTGAGGCCTAATCCAGGCTTTACAATATATCATGCTGAGCATTAGATCCTCCGAGCACACCCGATCATGGGTGACTGGTTGAATACGACCACGCCCTCCGGTGCTCACGAAGAATGTCCCCGACGAGGGACGCCCCAGACGAGGAACATCCCAATCCAAGTCCTGCTCGAGTACCCTCCTCGTAGGGCAGACTTTCAACCTCTCTGGATGTCTCGGAGTCCTCAGGGTCCATGGAAGATCGCGTCTTCACCCTCCCTATTATGCGGAGAGCATCATCCAGGTAAGGGACCACGTGTAGGTCCCCACTACTCACGTAGAACCTGGCAGTCCTTTTGTTGAGCCTGTTTGGTCAGCCCAATAAAGAGACATTGGCCCAACGCTGGGGGCTATAAATACCCTCTATTTCAAGAGGGTCAGGTATTCATTCATTCACACTTATATACTTACTTGCCTGCTCATTCCGTCTCTCACTTTGTCATCAGAGTGTCTTGCAGGTACCCTCCATCTCCTTCGAACATTTCAAAGCCAGCTGTGACGGTCCAACTCTGATCAGGTACGATCAGTGGCACCGTCTGTGGAAATCTAAGCTTCCTCGTCTTATTCACTTACAAAGACCAAAGCTAAAACCATCCTCGACTGTCATGGCTGACCAGACTCAAGACAACCAGAACATCCGCGTCATCGAAGCTAATAACAACCTCGTCGACAACAATGCCGACCCCGATAATGCCGACGTCACCGGCCATATCACTGCCCCCGGTGGCAACATTCTCGGGCCTGCCAACTACCGAGACGGAGTCACGGCCTCGTCTTTATCAATCCCTCCTTGGCTTGAAGAAGATAATCCAGTTCCTTCGAACTATCCAGCCGTCCAATTCCACGAGGTTCCTGTCCCCGCCGGGGCAGATGCCATGACCAGGGCATTGTTTGCGGAAATTAACCAGACCAACTATCTCATCTTTGTCCAGGGGGAAAGACTGAGATCACTTGAAGACGACCGAAGGCCCCCTAGAAGACATAAGTGGCCTCAATCCCCTCTTCCTCGACGAACGGAGGAACATCCCTGATCTCCCCCGTAGAGACAGGATCAGGACATCTCTCGAAGCCCGTCGCCCCGACCAGTCGGGTGGCGAACCCCCTTGGAGAGAGAACAACTCATCAAAATCGGAAGGCGCGACCACGGACCTTCACGACAAGAACGAAGAACTCCCGGGAACAGACACGAAGGAATCTATCAACGGTCACATCGCTCGAGGAACGTCCAGCACGACCAGGGCCATCGTGACCGACAATACATCATATCCTCGTCCCACTCCCCAGAACGGAGTGATGAGGACGACCCCCGCGGTCCCTTGTCACAAGCTATCATGGAGGCGCCCATTCCCCCAGGCATGGTGAAGCCTTCACACTTAAAGGAATATGATGACATCGCCGACCCGGTCGACCACATAGACGGGTTCGAGGCCATGTTGCAGTACCATAACATCGGGGGACCAATCAAATGCCGGTTGTTCCCCACGACCCTGAGGAAAGCAACTATGGACTAGTACAAGGGTCTCGCCCCGGGGTCAATTACCTCGTGGCGAAACTTGAAGAACCAGTTCATCAGCTCGTTCACTGCGTCGCGGTGACATCCGAAGACCGAAGCGGCGCTCGAGGCCATCGTCTAGAAGCACGATGAGACCTTGAGGGAATTCATTAACCGCTTCAACCAGGAAGCCATCCAGGTCCATTGTACGGACCATATGAAGAGATACCTGCTGGAGAGGGGGCTCCTCCCCGGCACCGAATTCCGGAAAGCTGTGGGCATCGAACCACCCCGAACGTTCGATGCCATCCTCGAGAAGGCTAGAGCCTACGTGGACTACGGGGAGAGGGAAGCGGCCAACAGAGCCTGAGACCCTAAGAATCGTGGATCCAGCAGCAATCTGCGACAAGAT